CTTGTGATATAAGGATACTTTGGGACAGACAATGCCTTCTTGAAGCACACTCCTAATATATCAATTGAATTCCAATAAATTGTGTAGCCATAATACATTTCCTTATTAGATAAGCTTCATCAAAAACATCTCCGAAGCATGTAAATATTATGTTGAACTAGTAACTTACAAAACCTTCTCCACAAAGGTGATGCATACGTAATCATCCCAATTTATATTCCCATGCTTGGAAATTATGCTCAAAATAAATATAGAACATACCAAAACGCATACTTACCATGATTAGCACATGTTCTCATCAGACGCGGAAGAAGCAACTGGGGATCTCGCACAGACATACAATTGAACAACAGTATCTGCAAGTATTTCACAATTACTTCAGTTAGAATCACCCAGATGCAACGTGAGTGTCTTTTAGTTACAGCAACATCGAGTACAAAGTTCCTTATTTGCCACAAAAGCATATGTAAAAAATGTGCAACCATGGGTACAAGCTACCAGGTGGATGTTACCAAATTATCAGCCTTTTAGATATGAACATGATCTAATTACAAGTTCAAGCATGGAAGCGAACTAGTTGATAATTGGTTCTATTTGTCATTGCCTTTCCACCAAGCTTTTATTAAATTTAAGTACCAACTCATACAAACCACTACTTCTTTACCCAACTAAACTCCTCTGGCTAGGCAGAAGTGTAATAACCGAGTCCGAAAAAACGACCCGAAATAATTGTTTTTTCTCTTTAATTTTTAATTTAAATATTTGATTAATTTATTTTATTTTTATTTAAGTGAAATTTAAAAAAAAAATGAATTAGGAACGAGATTGAAAATAATTTTGATAAAAATAGATAAAAATTTGAATTTTGTGGGTGTTTTTGAAAGAAAAATTGAAAACAGAAGATCAAAGTGCAAATAGAGAATGTTCGGCCACGTAGAACCGCCCAGTCAACAGTCTCTATGAACCGGAGCGCGTCGCGTTACAAGGCGCGCTGACATTGGTGCCACGCGAGAGGCTACACCAGCGATCCGCATGCCCCACAATCGAACAACTCAAGATTGCGTGCGTGGACTGCCTGGATTTGTTTCCACCTTAGACGCGGTTTGATGGTCGAGATTAATCGTGATGAACGGTCAAGATTCGTTTCCTCCTTAAGCACGATCGGACGAACGAGATCAATCGCGATGCACGACCTAAATCAATGCGAAATGATTATAAATAATTCGCATCACACAGAAACTTAAACCCTAACCGCTAGCTCCCGCCGAAGAAGAAGAACCAGACTCCGGAGAAGGAGTCACCGCCGACCGCTAAAAAAGGTAAAATTTCACTCTACCCGCTCGAAATTCGATTACGAGTACCCATGTGGCCAAATCAAAACAAGAGAAACAACGGGTGAGCCAGAAACCGTGGGTAAAGCGCAGCGGAGCCGCC